GAACTCAAAAGCAAGTGTCCACTGCTTACAGTAGTTTAACTCATTGAAGTAATTATGTGAAACGACTTCTTCTAGAATTTAGCATTTAAAACCGCTGCTATATGTAATGAAAAAACCAAGTAAATGGAATGGAAAATGGTCTCGAAAAGTCGAAAAATGTGACTAATGACGCTAGATGATGCTAGATGACGCTAGATGATGCTAGATACCGCCAGATAGCGACAATTAGCGACAATGCCACCAGTTGCGTGGCACCTTTTCAATGTCGCAATCTAGCGCTAGATAGCGCTGGATGTAATGACGCTATATAAATTTGTTTAATTGTGCCGAGCGTGACTGGCGTACTGCACTGGCGTGCCAGGTAATTTGATTTTCGAGCCTGCGACATTGCATGCGTTTTTTGATTGAACTTGTTTTCATGATTTTATTTCATCGATTTAATTTGGGCGTTGTAAACGAGCCAAAAACTTCGATCCACGTATTATTCGAACTAATTATGTCTTCGAAATATGTCTACACGAAATGAAGTATGAAATATATGAATTACACTATAATACTGGTACTACTACAAAATAGTAGTAGTACTACAAAGATTCAATAAAAAAGTAATTAATTACGATTATAGAGTGAAACGAAACACCCTAGTTTGTAGTTCGTACTTCGTTTACAACGCCCAACTTGAAGTTGAATCGATAAAACAAAATCGAAACAAGACGTTCAATCAAAAATGCCACTGGCTCAAAAATGAATACTAAATCAACACTAACTATTCACACAATTAAATGGTTCAGTGCTTGAGGGGGCGTTATATTGTAGATTAATAACCTACCAAGACACGCAGCTTCCTGAGTGAAGTGAACAATAGACTAGCAAGCGGAGTAATAATTTGGACTCTTCAATAGTCTTGTAATAATATTTGGACAAATATTTTACGAGTTTCACCTGTTAAACGTTATATTACGACAGCCATGAGTGACAAATTATTGTCAGATGTCGCGGCGACATCTAGCATGAACTGTCGCAAACCGACATTCTCCACTACCGTATCTAGCGCTAGATATCGCCGTGTCAAATGTCGCCGCAACATATAGTGCTAGACAGGGCTAGATGTCGCCCAAAAAAAGGCCAACAAATTCTGTGGCAAATAGCGCTAGCTGTCGTCTGGCAACAGTGTCGCGTAACTAGCGTTAAATGACGCTAGATAGCGTCATCTAGAGCTAGATCGCGACTTTGAAAAGGTGCCACGCAGTTGGCGGCATCGTCGCTAATTGTCGCTAACTGGCGGTATCTAGTGTCATCTAGCGTCATCTAGCATCATCTAGTGTCATTTCACGCTAGATGTCGAATTTCAACAATCGGTAAAGGTCCTAAAATTGTTGTAGACTAAAAATTTGCGAAATTTGTGACTAAAATCATGGTAGCCAAAATGTTTGTAACCAAATTTATTGTGAACCAAATTTATTGTGAACCAAATTTATTGTGAACCAAATTTATTGTGAACCAAATTTATTGTGAACCAAATTTATTGGCTTTAAGGTATAAGCAATTCAATGTTGATTGGGTGTGGCCCCTGAAAACCGAATTTTGAAATTTTGGCGACAGAATCCTGGAATGAATAGGTACAGTATGTCATCTGCAAAGCGACAAGTCTCAAATATGAAACACGGCGGCGGTATAAGACCCAACGTATGTACACTTTTGCCCCCCCCTCCCCCTGTATAATCAACTCTTCACCCCGTGACCCCGTATAATATGTTCCAAAAACCCCCTCTAGGTCAAGTGAAGTTGAACGTCTCCAAACTTTAATCTCAACTTTTTATGAGCTAACTGTGTACGAGCTAACAATGGAGACAATTTAATATGTTAAGAAAATTAACACAAATTCCTAGGTATTGTTATAAATAGTAAGTTAAACTGGGCTGCCCACATGCACTACATCCGTAAAAAACTTCGGTCCATGACTGGTGCAATCTGCATCTGTAGAATTCGGCACTCGATATAGATACCTGCAGAACTATATTTGAAAATATATAATACTCTCTTTGAATCACATCTCAGTTATGGTATTAGTGTTTGGGGCGTTGTCCTTAAAGAACGGTCAAATGATAGTCGTTTTATCACACAGAAGCACTGTGTAAGGATCCTTTTTGGTGATCTCGATTCATATTTAGATAAACAATCAACATGTGCACGTACTAGACCATATGGTATGCAAAAATTAGACCATAAACACTTTGATAGATTTTTTATAAATATCACTGCATTTCAGAATTCTCTAAGATTATCAAGTACCACTGCCCATACTCCCTTTATGAGGCCATCAACATTTCAAACCGTGCAACGAGTCTAACGGTTACTCTTCTAAATAAATCAAATACCTTTTTGTTTAGTGCAGCCAAGCTTTGGAACGCTGTTCATAAAAAAATTTTAACTTCAAGCAATAGCCTAGAAACTTCCATTAACTTAATAAAATTGGGAACAAAATCAGGCAGCTGACTTAAAAGATACATGGACTCCAAACAATTTTAAATTGTAGTGATCAAATTACAGCGGCACACAATTACTAATAATATCATGAATGAACTATAAGCTGAAAAGCTTTCAGATCGATTTTTAACCACTTGATGTAATATTTTTAATCATTAAATATCTTAGTTTATCTTAGTAAATTTTTATCAGATCGAACCTATATTTATTTATTCAATAGTTTAGTTTATGTGATAAGTTGATATTGATATTATTATTGTTGAATGAAGTAAACTCCTGAGATAGATGTTATAACTTTTTAACAAAGGGACTTGGAGTATAAAAGACCAAGTTCGCATAAATGCCTAACCAGCCAAGAATTTAGGATTCAAGGGTGGGTGCGTAAACTTCACGGTCTGCACTCTTTGATCCTGTATCACCCTGGATTCTTTTTGACGTATTTTTGTAAAACTTATATACCTTCTAGTCAATCTCTTGCTACTCCAAGTCCCCTAGGATATCTGATCTAAAGTTCGTGCTAGTTATATATATATGAAATATATTTTTGTTTGCTTTAATTGATACTAAATAAAATTATGCTTTTCTTGAAATTGTTGTTTTCTTATATTTCTAGTTGTTGACAGTATCAAAATAAAGTAATCAACACCGCACCAATTATAGGTCAGAATATTAAACTGCTTTGTTTAACTTAATTGCGAACTAACTTACGAATTAACATTTTGTTGTTGACGTCCACTCACCTTATTTAATGTGCACAGAAAAAAAAATGGATTGACAGTGCACATAAAAACGATCAATGGAGGTTTTGAAGTCTTCTCGGAGCCTTCTAAAGTGAATATTTATTCGGCTGTCAGTTCACCCTTTTCTTAGCTTGCGTTCGGAATGAACTTAGGTGGACTATAAATATCAGTTTAGATAGGTCGATTCCCCTATAATGAAGCATAGAGGAAAAGTATCACTCTAGGATCCGTTTTGTGTAGCAAGAGCAGCCATTAAGCGTTTAGTCGGGGGGGGGGGGGGGGGGGCACTCATTGCAGTCTGTTCATACAACAATGTAATGCGTGTTTTCGATTATAATAGACGGGTTTATACTTTTGCATTTCAACTGCGATAGTGAAGTCCCGGCCGATCCGTAGGCAGTGCTAGGCACGGGTTACATTAGTAATATCGATAATACCAGTTGTTGACAGTAGGAAAATAAAGCAATCAACACCAGGAAAAGTGCAATATCATGGTACTATTCACAGGACTTGAGTCTAGTTCCTCAAACCCTCCTGTGTGTGGTGAATCCTCGTTTATCACATTATATACGTGAAATTCTTTCACACAACTTTCTTCAACTTGTGTCTTCCTTTACCAGTATTACCTAGCATTCCTTATACCAGTACTACCTATCATTCCTTTTACCAGTACTACCTAGTATTCCTTTTACCAGTATTAACTAGCATTCCTTATACCAGTATTACCTAGCATTCTTTTACCAGTATTACCTAGCATTCCTTATACCAGTACAACCTAGCATTCCTTTACCAGTATTACCTAGCATTCCTTTACCAGTATTACCTAGCATTCCTTTTACCAGTATTACCTAGCATTCCTTATACCAGTATTACCTATCATTCCTTTTACCAGTATTACCTAGCATTCCTTATACCAGTATTACCTAGCATTCCTTTACCAGTATTACCTAGCAATTAGCATTCCTTTTACCAGTATTACCTAGCATTCCTTTGCCAGTATTACCTAGCATTCCTTTACCAGTATTACCTAGCATTCATCTACCAGTATTACCTAGCATTCCTTAAACCAGTATTACCTAGCATTCCTTTGCCAGTATTACCTAGCATTCCTTATACTAGTACTACCTAGTATTCCTTTACCATATTACCTAGCATTCCTTTACCAGTACTACCTAGTATTCCTTTTACCAGCACTACCTATCATTCCTTTACCAGCACTACCTATCATTCCTTTACCAGTATTACCTAGCATTCCTTAAACCAGTACTACTTAGCATTTGCATTCCTTATACCAGTATTACCTAGCATTCCTTTACCAGTATTACCTAGGGTAATGACAGGTAGAGGTTAATGACAGGTAGAAGGTAGAGGTTAATGCCAAGTCGAGATTATATAATTATATACCCTACCCGTCATTATATTATATCGTGTTTCACTCAAAAATGGCAATATTCCAAAAATAAACATACGAGAATTCGTAGCCCTCCCCCCTGTAATGTTGCTTATGTAATCAACAGCCTCACTCAGGGCTTCATACCTTAAGAACCAAATACTTTAAGTTCGTGTTAAATTTTGTCAAATTGTTGTAAACCAAATTTAATGTGACTTAATTAACCGTTGACTGTATCAATAGCTGAGTCAGCAAGAGCAATAGCTATTCTACAAACAGAGTCACATAGAAAATAAATAAATGTAGTGGAACTTGTCCCAGCCTTTTAAATGCTGAAAAAGTGGACAAAGAGGGATGCATGTAATAATATGTATATATCAAACCTCAAAACATTGTTGTTATTGTAACTCTTCCAGTTTTACGATTCTTCTGCCACATTCTGAAAATGCTTATCCGAACTAGTTCTGTTTATTTGCAGTGCCTTTACAATCTGATAAAAATATTGTGTATAAATGTTTGATTATACGTATAGACATATATATATGGAAATTATTGAACAAATGAAACAAAGTTCAAATGGCAAGTTCAACTTCAAGCTTCATACTATAGCAATTAAACTAAAGCAGTTGTCAGTTGGATCACGTCGGAGTTGGCTAGGACCTGTTCTATTTCCCGGTGGTTAAATCCTTGGAGAGAGTTATTCCCGTATGGTACCTTAACAGTTAACCAGGTGAGCAGGGAGGCTGGAGCACTCTTGTTTTTGGAACCTATCTACAGTAACAACTATCTGTTTGGTCTGCTGAGAAACCTATTTGGTAGATCCGTTGGCACTCAACAACTATAATGACAAATTATCTCGATGTCCTGAATTGTCAACATTTTTTGTCGTTGCAATCGTCAGGAACTTGTTTGTTTGTTTGTTTGTTTATAGAACCCGTCCCCAATCTCGTATCGGAAAATGACTAAACTCAGGTCTGAGTGTGAACTTAGATTAGATCTAAAAATATTCTCTTAAGACAGTTTGCTCCTTCATAAACAGTGCATTATTAGGAATTTCCTTGAGTGCCTGCATTTTGAGATTTAAGCTCGGTCCTGCTCTTGATGGACTTCAGGTTTTATTAAATGGAAATTATAATATTTTATTTGGATTCGAATCCTTGTGATATTTGTAAACTTTCTATTCTTCTTTTACATAATATTACACTGCAAAATAATGGTTTAAAAAAAGTACCTTTTAAAGTGGTAAAAGTGAGTATCTTTTTAAACAACAGCAATTCATTATAAGCTGAATATTTTCTCTTCTGTCCTTTTATTGAGTGATCTGTGAGTAGTTTTTTCTTGATGCCATAAACGATCCATTCTGAATTCATAAGGGGGATTTCGTTATTTCTATATTTTATCATAATTCAACTATAAATTGATATGATCACAACCTTGTCAATCATCGTTTGAATGTGGGACAATTTTGAAAAAATTAACTACAGTACTAGTGCAAAACTGCGTGTTTTACTCCAGAAACACTTTTTTTAGAGTATCCTCTAAAATCACCTAATATGTCCAATATCACGGTTGGGGGGGGGGGGGGGGGGGGCACCAACAGGCAAGGTTATGATGACTGCATCATTGTTTTCCGCTGTCTTATTGTGATATCTAGCACATCTTGTCATTGGTCAGTTATTATAATTAATAGCACTATTAAAATGCTCTCCCTATTCATATCCTTGTCACTTTACCTCCCTTCAGCCTCTCCTAGTCATTCCTCTGCATCATTTTCGGGACATCATTACCTTTAGTTCAGTAGATAATTCTCAACACCCATGTGCCAGTACTTTAGACTTAGTCCACATGCTTTTGAAATTTAAAGAACGGTATTTGTAATGCTCAAAATTCTATTCCTAGTGGTGCGTTCTCGCTGAAGATTAATAGAACCATTCAAGTCAGTAATCAGAGAATAGACAGATTAATCTCAGTTTTTAACTAATATAATTACAACATTATAAATTTATTACATTAAGGAGGCTCCACAAAATTCTCCCGAAATTGACTTTATAGTTGATTCTAATAGAGAAGAGTAATATCTACCAAATGCTTTTGGTCCCATGGAAAATTATTGTTCCTAGCCGCAATTATTATTGCCCGTCAAAATTTTCAATCTGCAATCGCGCATTCTGAAAATCGAGTTTAAAAATCTAACTTCTTCTACATTTTTGGAGCAATCACCCTGAAACTTTTAGGATATGTTTTAGACACAGGAGGGCCAAAGTGCAAAGAAACTGCTGCTAACTGCTGCTTACTAGCTTCAGTGAGCAGCAGTGAGCAGCACTTAGCAGCATGCAGTGAGCAGCAGTTAGCGTCAATTTCTTTGCACTTTGGCCCTCCTGTGTAGAAATCATTTAAAAGATCGCCGCTTCGACATCCCCCGGCCCCTCCCCCCCCCCCCCCCCCCCCCCCCCGCGAACTATTATGTATTATTTTTGCTTTTCATCGAGATCGCATCAAGATCATTCACCTAACCATGTAATGTGTTTTCGCGCTCTCAAGAAAACAACAATTTCAAGAAAAGAAATTTTATTTAGTATCAATTAAAGCAGACAAAAATATATTTCATATTTATAACTAGCACGAACTTTAGATCAGATATCCTATAGGGGACTTGAAGTAGCAAGAGATTGACTAGAAGGTATATAAGTTTTACAAAGATACGTCGAAAAGAATCCAGGGTGATACAGGATCAGAGAGTGCAGACCATAAAGATTACACACCCACCTTTGCCTCCTGTATTCTTGGTTGGATAGAAATTTACGCAAACTTGGTGGTTTATACTCCCAGTCTCTTTGTTAAAAGAAGTAATAATAATAATAATACAATTTTTAACTCGTATATTGGGTAGACTGTGTATTTGTTATGTATTTTATATTATACAGTTTTGTGTACAAGTAATTACTGTTATTTACTGGACTAAGGGGTATACATGTGTTGGAGTTTTTCTCTTATTTTTCTTCTCTTGCTCTGCATGCCCTGATTCTTGTATAAACATGATGTTTGTTATCTATATTATATTTTAAACTTGACGAAATTTCCCCGGCAACGGGGACATAGAAGAAAAAACACCGAAAATCGACCTCAAAATGACCCTCTGGTGATGCCAAACCCAGCTCGCAAATGGAGTTGAAACCTCGCCATTTTTAGCAGGGTTGTAGAAAAAGGATAGGAATAGGCTATAGCATTCTTAGAATTTTGATTTAGGCTTTAGATTTTTTATAATTAACGTCGGAAGTGAGGTAAAATAACCGTTAGAATAATGTCGTTATTTTAGCAAAGGTTTACTGCGCTGTTGCGTAGCAACGTTAAAATGCACGTGCGCGAGCAAAAACATCTTAACTACGCGCGTTGTTATGCTGTATGCTACGTCATAATTTCAAAACTAGCTCACATTTACGCTCACGCTATGACTTATATTCATTTAACTTTGGTTGTGATTGGTATTTTTTGATGCGGTAAAAAGTATCGTTTTGGGAATCCGAATACTAACAACGCTGTCGCCATTGTTAGATAAATTCCATTATGTCTACAGTATAACAGAGCTATATGATGAAGAGAAATTAAAACATAACTGATTTTTAAAATTTCCTCGAACAAAGCTTTCGACTAGCGGGTTTGTAGTATTGTATATTCTTGTATTGATTGTGGTATTTTGTGGGTCAGATTCAGCAATACCCAATGGGTACTTGCTGAATCACTGTTTTATACACTCTGTAACCAGTTCCTGTGTTCCGTCCCTTGCCCTGCAAGCCCTGTTTCTTGATTATACAGCATTTATTTATCGTGTATTACACTGTAGTATGTAATAAACATTTGTAGTAGTGTAGGATTGTTTGAATTTCTTTTTGCTAGGTTTTATAATATTTATTTGTATAATTTGTGATTGTTTCTCCCGGTTTTCTTCCCTTGCGTAGCAAGCCCTGTCTCTTGTAAAAACAACCTCGAAAGATTTGTAGATAAACATAGTCTCTACACCTTTACCCTCTGGTCCCTAGGGTCAGCTGATCCCGGGCCAGAGGAAAACTACTGACTGCCAAGGTTTGACGCCTAGGCAGTCGAGACCTCTTATTGAGACCCTTTATAATAATAATAATAAATAAATTGATGTTATTTTTATACAGCACCAAAAGGTTAAATATTTTAAATTTAACCCTTATGCTCAGCTGTAAATGATACCTAAATGACAGTAGAGATCGTGCATCTCGCCTTGGACTGGAGTAAAAACGGAAGTTTAAAGCTGCAAGTTAAATCCTGACTAAATAAGGCAGATACACCTAACAAGAAGATATCCAAGAAAGGTTAGCAGGTTTTCTAACAAAACATATGAAAAATAGATGATGACCACAAGAAATCTATGTATGAGACTCATCAGACTAACAAAATGATATACAAGATAATAAATATGAAAAATCATAAAATAGGATTATCAAAAACGATTACTGCAGAACAGTGAAACAAATCGGGTGTGAGGGTTAAATGAGGAGCTGCACATTGCAGCAAAGTCTTGGGCAAAGAAAGTATGGTACACACTACCTTAACCGTCACTGGCTAAAAACAAATCCTTCGTCTTCCTGTAATTGGCTACAGACGGTGAAATAAACAGATTGGTAGAAGATGCTAAAATACTTGAGACAAAATACAAAAAATAAGGCAGCTTTCTCCTGGGTGCCAACCCAAAAAATGTTGGTGTCCCGGGATAGAGCCTCTATGTTGACCTATACTACAATTTTTTTGGCAGACACAGTTATTAAATCAAAGTTCTTAACAAGGGATAGTTAAAAAACAACGCCCAAGTCTAATCTTTCCCTAAAACAAAAACAAAAAATCAAAAACTTCATCGCAATTTCCGCCAATATCTCTTGTCATAAGCTAAATTACGGAGATAATGCAGGTCAAAGATATTATTTAAATAAAGATTTCTTTCACATAAATCATGCACAATCAGCGAGAATAGATTACTTTGGGGTCTTCCTCTTCTCCCTGGTAAGTCAGTGTATTGATGGCAAAAATGAGGGAAGAAAACGCCGGTCCGTCAATAGGACCCCGCAAAACATGCCACTTTTTCTGACAATGGTTCAGCATTGCAGCGTTTATACAAGTTTTTGTTGGAGATGACTCCTGGGTACTTTATATTCAAAATAGTGCGAAGATGTCTGCAGTGAAACACGGAACAGAATAATATCTCGAATGTTGCCCGAAAATCCTGAAAAATTAGAAGCCTAGAATAATTTAATTTAAAGCGTAAAATTGACCTGCTATAGGATGAAAATTTTAAAAATCTTCTGATATTATATTATTTATTTAGTACATATCAAAGGACTTTCTAAACAGATGAGCTTTTAGTTTTCCCTTAAAGTCATTGATGTTTACACATTTCCTGATTTCTTGAGCATTGAGGAAGGTTGTTCCATAATCTTGGAGCAGATGAAGAGAAGGCTCTTGGTGGACTGTTTATAGGGCAATGAAGAGACACATCTCTGCCACCACTGGGATTGTACTTGACAAGGTTTGACAGGTATGAAGGTGCTAGTCCATGGAGCAGTTTGAAAGTTAGCAGGAGTATTTTAAATTCAATACGTTCTTGTACCTTGAGCCAATGAAGTTTTTTATGTATGGCTCAACTTCTTCTCTCCTCTTTAGACCTTTAACTAAGCGCATGCCCTGTTTTGCAGAGATTGAAGCTGTTTCAAAACAAAATGATTAGTACCATAGTAAAGTGCATTGCAGTAGTCAAGGAAACTAATAACAAAAGATTCATGTACAGTAAAATACAATTTAAAGTAAAATACAATTTTTATTTTCCACAGAAGAATCAATACATATTGAATTATAAATATCCGATAATTCCATTAATAATCATTAAAAGTTGCTTTGTCATTTGTAAAATCAAAAACGAAAAGCCCTACGCTGAACGCGCGCGGCATTTTTTCTGCAGCTGCCTAGCTTCAAGCTTGTAGCCGCATAACACCAAAGCCGCCGCGCGCGCCCAGTGCTGGGGTGCATTCTCATTAACAATTAAACTTGGTCAAAGATATTTATATACAATTCCTAAATTAAATCAATAATCATGTTAATATGAGTATTCAACACTACTCGACAACAAATATTTGCCGGCCCACCAACGATTCAGTCGCTGAAACAAAAATCAAATGTTTGCTAATTTTTCGTTTCGGGGACTGTTTGAACTCAGTACTATATCCGACTAATCACACTTTATAATGGTTAAAATACAAAGTAAAAAGATTTTCCTCGATGGGCCGGCATTTGCAACCGCGAAACGTTTTGAGTACGACAAACGATGACACCACCACCAGCCGTTAATTG